TATTTACACGATAACCCTTCCTCGTTACAAGTATATATACTTGTTTGTTATTTTAGTGTTTCCCCCTTTTTTGCTCTTCAATATCGCTATTATTCATTTCGCTAATCCAACGATTGTCTCCTGATGAGATGTTGGCTGAAAGGGCTCTAGAGACTTTTAATATTAAAATCAATGGTTTTTTTTAGTTTTTAAAACTATTTTATATATATATATATATATATATATATATATATATATATATATATATATATTCAAAACCTACCTACTATTATGTGCAAGATTGAATAGATAGATAGATAGATATTTTTACCTATATATAACATATATGAACTTCAATATTGTCGATTACTACCAGTCAATATCAAAAGACCTCTTTACAACTGACCTAGAGTTTGCTACAGTATATTCAGACTTAACTAAGGAAGAAACAAACATAATTCTCAGTGCAAAGAAATCTGTCCTCATCCATAATGGGGACCAGTGGATTAAAAACACCAATGACAACTTTGACATCACCATGGGATCTCTAGATTCTGCAGAATCTTCGGACCTTGTCGGTCTATTTATACTGTACAATCTAACCGCCCACCGTGAACTAGACGTTGGGGACATCGGGCTATACAGAGATGACGGGCTCATGGTAGTGAGGAGCTCCAAAAACTTTAAAACAGAGAAAATTAGAAAGATAATTTACAATGAATTCAGGAAACTAAATTTAAAAACAATAGTCAACACTAAATTAAAAAGAGTAAACTTCCTAGACGTAACCCTAGACTTAACGAACAACGTTCACCTACCATACAGAAAACCTAATACTAATCCCCTGTGTGTACATCCTAAGTCAAACCACCCTCCATCTATAATTAAGCATATACCCGCATCAATAGAGAAAAGAATAAGTATGAACTCGGCAAATAAGGAAATATTCCAACAACACAGTAGTTTTTACAACACAGCCCTGAAAAATAGCGGATACAAAAACGCTGACATAACCTATAGAAACGATAGTACCAATAATAAGAAAAACAGGAAAAGAAAGATCATTTGGTATCCCCCCCGTACAACCAAATGGTTAGCACCAAACTAGGCCATAAGTTCCTAGCTTTAATTGAAAAGCACTTTCCCACTAATAGCAAACTTAGCGACATCTTCAACAAAAACACCTTGAAATTGAGTTACAGCTGCACTGAAAATATAGAAAGAATCATAAAAAGACATAATAAGAAAATCCTAGAAAAACACGCAAACCAAACCAGTAATAAAAAACATAAACTAAAATTGGATAAAAATAACGAAAAATTATGTGATTGTAGAAACCCTAAAAACTGCCCGTTGGAAAATAAATGCCTCACAAAATCCCATCCATTGAGAGTCTTAACACTGATAGGATATACATAGGCTCAACAAAGAATAATTTTAAAATTAGATGGAGGCAACACAAGAGCTCCTTCAACAATATTCAAAATAGAACTCAAACATCTCTTTCCCAATATTTCTGGCATCTAAAAGAAACGAATAAAACACCAAAATTAAAATGGAAAATAATAAATAAAACAAGAACCTGTAAAACCTGGGTTGCTGAGGCCCAGGTGGGAGTGACAATCTCTGTTGCAGATGTCGCATCTGTGTTCTGTCTCTGGTAAGTTGGAGCTGTCACTTTCCTTTCTGTCGGTCACTTTTCCGTTATATATATATATATATATATATATATATATATATATATATATATATATTCAAAACCTACTATTATGTGCAAGATTAGATAGATAGATAGATAGATAGATAGATAGATAGATAGATATGAATAGCCGGTAATGTAGAAAGAGGAAAACAAGCTTGATTTAAGATTTAAAAGAAAGCAAGAAAGGACTCATTGCCATATAGAAGACCTAGCGTTACGTAACAGTTCAATACTCTTTTCGCTGGTGCTAACGAAATTTTCCAGTTTAATACGTTGCTTAACTTTTGGAAGGTCACTTTACCTGTTTTGATACGTTTCGAAATAGATCGAAAATAAATGTCGACAACATAGATTATTCCTAATCTCAAATAATTCTAGCTAAATTAAACATCTGCTTTCAGTTTTAAATTAATGGAATATATATATATATATATTTCTATGTGTGTGTGTGCAGGCATCCGTCTGTCAGGGTTGATTATGGATAACATTCAAGTTGTCTGCTTGCCCAGAGCATCGACGTCTGTGACTGAAGAGGGCGATGTGTGAGTGACAATCTCTGTTCCAGAGGTCGCATGTTTGTTTTGTCTCTGGTCTGTTGAAGCTGTCACTTTCTGCGGGCCCGCCTTTACGTGCCGACTTGTGTCAGCTTCTCCTCCCCTCGTATGGATGTCAGGCTCTCCCAGGACTCTGTGTTGATATCCACAACTTTCACGTCGCACATCACGACATCGCGGTACCGCATCTGTGGCCGCCCAGCAGGTCTCCTTTCAGAGGACAGCTCTCTATACAGGTGGTCTTCGGGGATCCGGCCGTCTGGCTTACGGTGGACGTGTCCTAACCAACGGAGTCTGTGTTGTCTGAGCAGTGTATATGCACACACATATTGGAAATCTGTTTAGCGTAATCTATAAAGCATCCTGGTAAAGTTATTAAAAGAAATGCTGCATTATAAATGGACTGGACGTCAGTGAGAATTTTATTTTAGTAACAAGAGACACCTTGAAATAATGAATAGCGGCTTGGATTGAGGAATCGGAGAGCCGAGTTCGAATTCCAGTCGATACATTCACTTACGTGCTAATACCCTTGGAAAAGGTAGAAATCCTATTTTTCTCCCCCCCAGCTATGGGTAAATAGCGGGATAGAGCGGGTTCTATAACCTTGGATGGCAACTGGTCTACTGCAGAAAGAAATGCAAACCTACTGCGGGGAAAAAATCTGCCTTGTCAGTCATGTATCGAAAGATACATGATCGTCTAAACGTGTATCAGGCGTGGCAGATAACTGACTGAGTTGACTCTGTGGACGATCTCGGCGACATCGTTGTTGCCAAAAGACATCCACGCTTGCCCTATAGATTTAACTATCATGGCGTCGCCCTTCGTCACGAATAGGCAGTGACGAAGACTACCATCTGGTTAATATCTATGTGAATATACTTTTTAAAACAAATGCAGTGTCGTGGTTAGTGATTTAAACATTTTGTAATGGCTTCTTTAACCCGAACCAGTGCTGTGAAAATCTTTTCCGATTTTTTTATTTTTTTATTTTTTTTTGCTTTCCAGTGATCGCATGAGGGTTCTGTCTCTGGTCTGTTGGAGTTGTTACTTTGCTTTCCAGCCAACGTTGATTTTAAGAAATTTAGATGCAATGTCAATCAATATCTACTGTCTTTCTGATTTGCCATCTTGTTCTCGCTTCTTAATAATGTTCCACTTCGTTTATTTTTCTTTCACAATCAGTAATGCTCTCGTGTCTTAGTGACTTTGTTCCTTTACTTCCGTTGAACTGATTATATATATATTATATATATATATATATATATATATATATATATATATATATATATATATATATATATATATATATATATATTTATATAGATTGGGTTTATATATTGGTGTTATTGTGGAAGTGGTGGTGGGGAAATTTTGTCGCTTATGTCATCGTACTAACGCAAATATCGATGTATGCAGACACATATACATACTTGGTCGTCCGTCGGGAACCATACATATATAAACATATGTGGGCAGTTTCGGATCTTTAAATTTCAACATACAAATGCGTATGTATAGACACAACACCACCCTGTATACATACATATGTCATATCCGATACATATGTATGTACGACGGGAGAGTCCTATATATATATATATATATATATATATATATATATATATATATATATATATATATATATATATATATATATATATATGCTCTTGAAAAATTTCGGTTGACCTCTCTGGGGAGGAAGTGTGGGTTTGTAAACAGTGACTCTTACGGCCAATAATGCAAGACCCTTCGGTAAATCGAACCGAGTTCTCTCAGTCATTGTATGTTTATCTAAAAATAAATACGCTTAAATTCACCCTCTTCCCAGCCGTGCACTAACGGCATAGTGGTAGAATCCCGACCGACACCAATTCAGTCGGGTTTCGATCCTAGCTAAAAGTCACGACGATTGTGTCTATCCTGAAACAGACTGTAGCCTCTAAGTGTTCACTTTTATATTTATATTTATATATATATATATAACTTTTCCTCCTACTGACGCATATGAGCTGAAAAATGCTAATATTTATTTCTCGACTTTAATATCCACGATAATTGTTAACCTTTGAAATCCGGGTTTGGTGTGGGAGCAGGGTTGGGGGTGTATTATACACCTAAGAGAGAAGCAAGAAATTTAACGGTCAAATATGTCCTAAAATCAATCATGCCCAACTAAGGTAGAACGATTTGATTGCTTGTGTTTTGCACCCTTACTGAGCGACCTGTTGTAATGGCCTCATGCCATACAGGCTTTAGCCGAGTAAACATCTTCAGTTCTTCAAGCACTTGCCTTAAAATCTTTTGGGGCAATGGGAAAAAAAACAACAACACTGTAACGAATAGACAAACAAAGAAACCCATGACAGGTTCGGCACCATTGAAATTTATAATTGTCTGGTGGCAATATTTGTAATAATTAGTAAGTAAATCTAATTTGAACAATTAGCAGAATAATTAACGCTGGCATAATTTGATAGACTCTATCCACAAACGTGGATGTGTTTGTATTAATTGAAAGCGGTTTGCATAACAGCTACCATGAAAGATTTATCTGCTGGGGCGAGTTGTTGTGGAGACGCCGAACGATGCAGGAACGCCAGAAAATAAATAAATATAATGGCGGGAAAAGTGGGAAGAGTTTGGGAAGATATGGGAGAAAATTTTCTTGGCGAATTTATTAATTTCATTCAGTTTAATTTGATTTCAATTTTAATTTCTTTTGTGCAATTTTAATTAATAGAATTAGAAACTGGCGAATTATGGACGCTGGTCTTGTTGAAGTAGTCTTTTGTTCCAAAGAAGTTTAATGAAATTAAAATTAGTTTTAACCGAGCCTCGCTTTCGATAATTTTTTTTTTTTCTTTTTCCCTTTCTTTAGAGTCCAGTTGCTTTTACTCTTTCTTTCTTCATCTCTGGGTTTGTATTATTATTATTATTATTATTATTATTATTATTATTATTATTATTATTATTGTTGTTGTTGTTGTTGTTGTTGTTATAATTTTTAAAATCGTCTTCCTCTCATCATTTCAAACGCTGCATCTATATTGATGGCTTTTTTTACTTCATTTATCCAACACACACACACACACACACACGAATACCATCAAGCATTCACTCTCTATCACCCTCCTCTTTTCCGATGTCGCTTTCTCTTTCTTTCTTTCTTTCTTTTCTTTCTTTTTTTTTTTTTTCTTTTTGTTATTCTTTTTTTGCTTTTCTCCTTTTTTTTTTTTAGTAGAACATACATTCATTTTTCTGTCTCTTTTTACAAACGGGATATCGTTTTCTCTCTCTCTCTCTCTTCGCTCTCTTTCTTTTCTCTCTCTCTTTCTCTCTCTCTTTCTGTCTCTGTCTGTCTGTCTGTCTGTCTTTCTCTCTCTCTCTCTCTCTCCCCCTCTCGGGATTCCCAAGAAAACTTTTTCAATCCCGTTTTTAAAATGTCTTTTTTTTTTCTTTTCTTTATCACTTCTTTCTTTCCAAGAACTTTCTTTCCTTCATTACTTTATTTCTTTCCTTTCTTTCTTTTTTCTTTTTTTTTTTTTGTTATTCTTTTTTTTTTTCCTTTTTTTTTTTTAGTAGAACATACATTCATTTTTCTGTCTCTTTTTACAAACGGGATATCGTTTTCTCTCTCTTTCTCTCTTTCTTTTCTCTTTCTTTCTTCTGTTGTCTTTCTTTCCTCCCAGCTTGGATTTCCAAGAAAAACTTTTCAATCCTGTTTTAAAATGTCTTTCTTTTTTTTTCTTTTCTTTACTTCTTTTTCTTTTCTTTCCTTCTTACTTTCTTCTTTCATTACTTTTTTCTTTCTTTTTTTTTTTTTCTTTCTTTTCTTTTTTTTATTCTTTTTGCTTTTTCGTTTTTTTTTTTAGAAGAAACATTCATTTTTCTCTTTTTTTACAAACGGATATCGTTTCTCTCTTTCTCTTTTTTTTTTTTAGTCTTTCTGTCTCTGTCTGTCTGTCTGTCTGTTTTCTCTCTTCTCTCTCTCCCTCCCAGCTTGGCCGGATTACTCCAAGAAAACTTTTCAATCCTGTTTTAATTTTTCTTTCTTTTTTTTTCTTTTCAAACGGATTCTCTTTTCATTTTCTCTCGTTTTTTTTTTTAGTAGAACATACATTCATTTTCTCTCTCTCTTTTACAAACTATTTTCTTTCTCTCTTTCTTTCTCTCTCTCTCTTTCTCTCTCTTTCTGTCTCTGTCTGTCTGTCTGTCTGTCTTTTCTCTCTCTCTCTCTCCCTCCCAGCTCGGCCGGATTACTCCAAGAAAACTTTTCAATCCCGTTTTAAAAATGTCTTTCTTTTTTTCTTCTTTTCTTTATCACTTCTTTCTTTCTTTCCTTCTTACTTTCTTTCCTTCATTACTTTCTTTCTTTCTTTCTTTCTTTCTTTTTTTCTTTCTTTCTTTTTTTGTTATTCTCTTTTTGCTTTTCTCCGTTTTTTTTTTAGTAGAACATACATTCATTTTTCTGTCTCTTTTTACAAACGGGATATCGTTTCTCTCTCTCTCTCTCTCTTTCGCTCTCTTTCTTTCTCTCTCTCTCTTTCTCTCTCTTTCTGTCTCTGTCTGTCTGTCTGTCTGTCTTTCTCTCTCTCTCTCTCTCTCTCTCTCTCGGCTGGATTTCTCCCAAGAAACTTTTTTCAATCCTGTTTTAAAATGTCTTTTCTTTTTTCTTTTTCTTTATCACTTCTTTTCTTTCTTTCCTTCTCTTTCTTTCCTTCCTTTCTTTCTTTTCCTTTCTTTCTTTCTTTTTTTTTTTTCTTCTTTTTTTTTGTTCTCTCTTTTGCTTTTCTTTTTTTTTTTTTTAAGAAAAATTCATTTTTCTTTTTTCCAAACGGGATTTTAAAAATCTCTTTTTTTTTTTTTTCTTTTTTCTCTTTCTGTCTCTGTCTGTCATCTGTTTTTTCTTTCTCTCTTCTTACATTCGGATTTTTCCTTTTCAAACGGGTTTTTTATTTTTTTTTTTTTTTTTTCTTTTCTTTCTTTCTTTTTCTTTCTTTCTTTTCTTTTTTTTCTTTCTTTATTTTTTATTTTTTCTTTCTTTTTTTTTTTCTTTCTTTCTTTTTTTTATTTCTTTTTGTTTTTTCGTTTTTTTTTTTTAGAACATACATTCATTTTTCTGTTCTTTTTACAAACGGGATATCGTTTCTCTCTTCTTTTCTTTTTCTTTCTTTCTTTCTCTTCTTTCTTTCTTTTTGTTATTTCTGTTTTTTCTCTTCTCTTTTTGTGGATTACTCCAAGAAAACTTTTTCCTGTTTT